ATCATGTTCAAAGCTAAGGGTTCAAAGGATAGATCACATATTGCTCTCTTTTATTGGGCTAAAATCATTTGGCTAATAAAGGGTAACAACAGATGGCCTTGATCATATGACACATACAAGCAAGTGATTCAATCATAAAAACATGGGCAAAGTAATTCATACTTTCAAAGTAATAACATTCATTAACAAAAACTCTGGAGTTCAAAACCTCACATATAGTCTCATTCACATTCCACATACACATCCTGCTTAGCATCACAATCACAATCACAACATCATGCATTTGTTCACATAGCTGGTGAACCACCCCCTGTATATCAGCATATAATGTGCAATCTCAACATCAATCAATATCCAAGCATTATCAAGCAATACTCATCATGCATAACTCAAGGTCAAACCATCATAGTAGATAAAGTTTCAAACTGAGTACATCACAACCCTATTCTAAAAATAAAAGCAAATACGTTCAATAGAGTTTAGAACACTGGCTGCCTCCCAGTAAGCGCTTGTTTAACATCACGAGCCTGACCCAAAATTCTCCAGCACCCATTAGTAAGTGCAAATCTTTTCTTACCAACACCTATTAGTAGGTGTAAACGAGCATAGTATCCTTCAGTAGATATTCTTCCACCTACATCCTTCAGTAGATGTAAACCCCGTAACAAGTTTATAACTAAAACAAAAAAAATACCAAAAGTTCGTAATTACATCACGAGACCGAAAATAAAAGTTCTTAAATCACTGGGTTGCCTCCTAGCAAGCGTTCTTTTAATGTCACTAGCTTGACCCAATAAAGTTCAAGGATCAACCAACTTCATCACTATGGACAACCGCTCTACTTCTCCTTCCAGATAAAGCTTGAGACGTTGACCATTCACCACCCAGCTTCTCTGTTGATCACTAGCAGATGGATCAACCAATTCAATTTCTCCATGTGTACGCATACTTTTCACTATGAATGGTCCTGACCAATTTGACTTCAACTTTCTAGGAAAAAGCTTCAATCTTGAATTGAACAATAGCACCTGCTACCCTGGATTAAAAACTTTTTTATCAACTTCCTGTCATGATAGAATTTTACCTGTTCTTTGTAGCTCCTGGATCAATCATATGCATGCAACCGCATCTCCTCAAGCTCCAACATTTGCCTTTTACGCTTGTTTTGAGTTTTAGAAGGATCAAAATTCATAAATTTAAGAGCCCACAAAGCTTTATGCTCCATCTATACTGGCAAATGACATGCTTTCCCATAGACTAGCTAATAAGGTGATAAACCCATAAATGTGTTCATTGCAGTCCTGTATGCCCAGAGAGCATCATCCAGTTTCTGTGACCAGTCCTTTCATTGATCTCTCTATTAGACACCTCAGCTTGCCCATTGGTCTGTGGATGATAAGGTGTAGCTACCTTATGTCTCACACCATAATATTTGAGTACTTTTGCTAGTTGATAATTACAAAAATGAGATCCTCCATCACTAATAAGTACTCTTGGGGTTCCAAAGCGTGAGAAGATCTGCCTCTTTAGAAATTTAATCATAGTGTTGGCATCATTTTTGGGACACGCCGATGCTTCCACCCATTTACTCACATAGTCCACTACCACCAGTATGTATTCATTGTTAAAAGATGGTGGAAATGGTCCTACAAAATCAATACCCCAGCAATCAAAGACTTCAACCTCTAAAATGCCTTGTAATAGCATCTCATGACGTCTTGAAATAGTCCAAGTTCTTTTACACCTATCACAATTCCTGACATGATTATGAGCATCTTTAAATAAATAGGCCAATAAAAACGTGACTGGAGAACTTTTGTTGTTGTTCTTTCTCCATTGAAAAGTCAACCAAAAGGTAAGTCATGACAATGCCAGAGAATTCCTTCTGCTTCTTCATTGGTCACACACCGTCAAAAGATTATCTGCTCCAATTTTGAACAAATAAGGATCATCCCAGATAAACTGCTTGGCATCATGCAAAATTTCTTTCTTTGTTTCCAATTAAGATCTTCTAGAATTGCTCATGCAGCTTTGAAATTGGCCATATCAGCAAACCACGACCTCTTTTGAATATACATGAGTGTTTCATCTGAAAAAGATTCCTAGATTTCTGCTTCCTTGCTAGTAACCTCACTCAACAATCAAATTCTCACTCCCCTTCTTATCACGAATTTCAACATCAAATTCTTGCAATATATGTACCCATATAATTAGACGTGGCTTAGAATCTAGTTTTATCAACAAATATTTTATAGCTGCATGATCTGTGTAGATAATCACCTTAAACCCAATGAGATAAGGTCTAAATTTCTCGAAAGCATAAAATATAGCTAGGAACTCCTTTTCAGTAGCTTCTGATTCCTTTCACATTTGTTGGTGGAGGAAGTTTCTCAATGACCTCTACTTTGGCTTTATCCACTTCAATCCCCTTAGAAGAAATCTTGTGTCCCAACACAATTCCTTTTGTTACCATGAAATGACATTTCTCCCAGTTAAGCACAAGATTCGTTTGAACACATATTTTGAGGAAAATATCCAGATTAACCAAACACCTTTGGAAAGAATCTCCAAAAACTGAAAAATCATCCATGAAGACTTCAATGCACTTCTCTATGAGATCTGCAAATATTGCCTACATACACCTTTGAAATGTGGCTAGGGCATTACATAACCCAAATGGCATCTTTCTGTAGGCAAAGACACAAAAAGGACATATGAATGTCGTCTTCTCTTGGTCTTTTGGATCTACCACAATTTGGTTGTATCCATCTAGAAAGCAATAAAAAGACTGACTTGTCAATCTCTCCAGCATCTGGTCCATGAAAGGAAGAGGAAAATGATCCTTCCTAGTGGGTTTATTCAACTTCCTGTAATCAATGCACATTTGCCATCCAGTAACAGTCCAAGTAGGAATAAGCTCATTCTTCTCATTATAAACTACTGCCATCCCAACTTTCTTTGGAACTACCTGTACTGGACTCACCCATTCACTGTTAGAGATTGGATAAATAATGCCAGCTTCCAAAAGCTTCAATACTTCTTTCCTAACCACCTCCTTCATGACATGATTTAGCCTTCT